TTATCGTATTCGACACAAAACATTTATTGGCTTACTTATAGGTTAATGTCGAAAACCGACATGAGAGTCCATCATATATATATATATATATATATATATATATAGATAGATAGATAGATATATCAAAAGGATATATATATATATCAAAAGGAAAATGTAAAAACCGAACAAACACAACTTACAATAGCAGAGGAAAACAAGGAGAATAATAATCGACTTAGATGTTGTAAGAAGGAGATATTTGTTGTGGTCAAACACTGCTTGTCTTCAATCCGGTCGATCGAATGGAATTGCAGCTACTGATTTGATGGCTGACTAGCCGAACCCAGGGTTACTGGCGTGGAGGTGCGGAGGTAGTTTGCCGATCGCCATTTTGTTGAGTACGTTCAGTCAAAGGGTAGACTAGCGGTCGCTTGGTATTAGAGGCGCAAGAGGGGAACGGTGAAATTTGCGAATAAAAAGCGATGAAGAAAAAGAAAGCAAAGGAGTTTTTTTTATCAACTTTACATTTCTTTTATGATAATTAAAGAAATGGAGCTAAATCAGAATAGACAATTTTGATTTTAGGCAGCACCCTTGTCATAAATACACTGAAACAGATCGTGGAATGGAAAATGCAATCCGTGAGCATTTGAAAATAACACCCCTACAATGCCCCGAATATATATATATATATATATATATATATATATATATATATATATATATATATATAATACTCCACGGTGATTTCAGAACTAGGAGTTTCATGCCATTTGCAATCTTCTGGTGCAATTTTTGGGTTTATACCGTTTAAGACTTACGGCAATAGCGAGATATTTCATTGTTAAGGTGTATTATTATTGTTTAAATGTGTTTAAATGAATTGTAGTTTAATTTAATAAAATATTATTTAATTTAATATTTATCCATTTGTTTATATATATATATATATATATATATATATATATATATATATATGGTGATTAAATGGCACATTTTTATGATTTTTATTACAGGAAAATTTATATATAAAGATTTAAACTACTCATATATATATATATATATATATATATATATATATATATATATATATATATATATATATATATGCATCAGTGTTTTGTATATGCGAGGTGATAATTGTACAAAAATTGGGGTTAAATGTTTTGTTAGTCTGCCGCCCAGTTTATGTTTGGGTGCTGCCTATTCATATAACGAAATGGGCCAAGCAAAAACGTTTCTATTTTGTCATAATTCTCCTGGTGTAACAGCGAAATTGTCCAAATACTGTAACTGCAAAATTGTCCACTTGTAAGATTAAGTTTTGAGAATTGTTAAATATATTACTGGAATTCTCCGAGGTTTTTATAACAATATTGGACCCTTTTTTGATTAATAAGAATGTATAATTACTCTCCAAGCTTTACAGAAGAATCGTTATGAAATAGAATATAATCTAAAATGAAATGTTTATCATTAATTAATTATAGTTAAGGATCGGAAGCTCATGAAGTATTGAAATAAAGTTCAAATGTATATATTATATTTCTAACTTATTCAACGTCATCTTCGCCCTCTCTAACTTTCTAACTTTCTGTCCTGTAGTCACACGTTTCATGTACGATTTCATTTTCAAGTCTTTCACTGCGCTTTGGACTTTCATAGCTGAAACTCCTCTCTCACATGCCAAACGAATTATAGATTGAGTTGGATCTTTTCTAATTGATCTCTTTAGTTCTAAGTTGAAATGATGACCCCTCATCCTGTTGTGACCTCCTGATCCAGTTTTCCTCTCTATTGTTCGCTCTTTTTTAAACTTATTCACCGTTCTCTTGATGGTTCTTGAATAGACTATGAAGATGGAAGCCAGAGTATGAATATTGTCACCATTACTAAAGGCCTGAATGATCTTTTTTCCTCTCGCCATAGCTCACTTGGGAAGACATGGTGCTGCTGATACAAGACGCTTTTAACCTGTTCTCTTTCTAGCTGAATAAAGGGGTTTTTCAGCGATTCTTACGACAAATGGTGTCAAGATGGCTAAACGTCTTATCTGAAAACCTGGAAAATCGAAACTCAATTACTTCAGTGGTGGGTGGACAGTTATGTTGTTACATGATTTAACCAATTTTGGTGATACACCCAATATATATATATATATATATATATATATATATATATATATATATATATATATATATATATGTGTGTGTGTGTGTGTGTGTGTGTGTGTAAGCTATATTTAACTGGAAAAGGAAACTTGTTTTAAGTGAAATGTTTTGTCCACCGATAGATCTTATAAAGACAAATGTAAGGATTTTATTTTGCAACAAGTATTTATAAGTAAAAGTAATACTCTCGTTAGTTTTGCAAAGTTTTAAAATTTAAGAACGCTAATAAATATATAGAAGACTAACTGAAAATAGAAATAAATTCAAGCAGAATTTCGATCTAACAAATTCAAGGCTTACTAAATTAAATTTCCTAGATCAGAAAGTTCTTGAAAGTGCAACTATCGAATCGTATCAAAATATAAATCTAAGACCTGGATTTTTCAAATATCTCCTTTCCTGAAAGAATTACAATTTTCCACAGCTAACATAGATGAATATGAAAATGTTAAAAAATTATGAGAGATTTTAAGAAAGTTTAACTTCGAAACCTATTATTTAAAATCTATAATACATAAATCAATCACAGGCAAAAGTAACATAAATATTATTAAAAGAAAATTACATACATTTGTTTATTAAATTACATCACTTAGAATTCTCAATATTTTCCCTAGACTTTTCAGTAGGCCTGATGTATATTAATGAGACTTTTTAAACTTGAAAAAACTAAAATCGTTAAATTTACCTTGATAAAGTCCATCGGAGGAGGACACGCCTCGGGTAAGATAATAAGTTTTCCTTTTCACTATCTATCTTCTATCTATCTATCTATCTATCTATCTATCTATCTATATATATATATATATATAAACACAAACATACATATATATATATATATAAAACGATAAGTTCGGAGTTTGTTACGTTTAGTAATTGAATTTTGATAAGCATTTTTCGATGTGTAACGTTCAATGATTTTTTAATGGATAATCGTGTATGTGAGAGACAGGATTATTCTGATGGATTGCAGAAAATTGGATATGATATACATGAAGTAAGAAATTCGAAAAACAAACATGGAGGTAATCAATATTCTCCTGAGAATAATATGCCTGTAATTCAGTGATGCAATTATTGATTATTAATTGGCATATTTTTCGGTGTCACCTTCAACCTTTAGGCGTAGGCTCTTTCTCTCTCTCTCACTCTCTACGCACACACACATGAACGCAGGCACGCACACACACACATATATATATATATATATATATATATATATATATATATATTAAATTAATTAAAAAAATAATTAAGAACGAGACAACCTTAGTGTTCCATGACTATAATTTACCCACCCCCAATATATTTTTCTTGGTTTATCAGGTTGTCACTTAATTATTTAATTAATATTTGCTCTGTTGTTACGTTGACCTCTCTGGATTACCTCCTCTTTGGTATTATTCAAACGGATAACCAAACCCTTTACATTAATTATATATATATATATATATATATATATATATATATATATATTATTCATTCATTATATATTATTCAGTTATCGTATATATATATATATATATATATATATATATATATATATATATATATATACGATAACTGAATAATGAAATATATACGATAACAGAATAATGAATTATCGAAAGGATGTTGCAAACATTTCGTCTTGTCCCACTTCTCAAAATCAGAATCTAATTTGATTTGTATCCGAATAGTATCTACCTGTGAAGGTGGCTATCCCTGTTGCAGATGCCTGTGCGGGCACATTTGTGTTTAAATCCAGTACCCTCAAACTCTCAGTCATTGGGACATGTGCTATATATATATATATATATATATATATATATATATATATATACAACTTATGTAACCGCATACAACCTTGGTTTCGACCGTCAGGTTTCTTCATGTGGCGGGTAATAAGTGTTCGTAATACCATGCTGCAATTATAGAACTATGGCACTGGAAAAGGTGATGGGTAGCAGAAAAAAAAAAATTCTTCATCTGGGGTCGTACAGACCGAGAATATTATTACTTTTATGTCTACACTTGGACATTATCTCAGTTCTGCTTTTCAACAACACACAGTCGATCCTACAAATTGGCACAGTTGTCTCCTCAGGCAGAGCCCACAAACACAAACAGCCGCTCCGCTCGGCTTAACTCCTTCCAATCCCCTACTTTCCTACTAGAGCCATTACCACCTTGCTTGGGGTGAAGTGATTAGAATATCTATCTATCTATCTATCTATCTATCTATCTATATATATATATATATATATATATATATATATATATATATTAATAATAATATAATATTAATATTATATATTATTCACGTAGAGGGTTAAAGGGAATAAACATGAGAGAAAAGACTGAGAATAGGAATTGAAGAATAGACAAAAATGAACGGGATTCAAGAGGATAGAAGAATCCGATTAACCATTGCATTTAAATTGTTGAAAATTGTTGTTATCAGAGAAGTAAAGAAACGGAAGGGAGTTCCACAAGTGGGAAGTGCGAAAAAAGAAACTGTCGGAGTAGGAGTGGCTGTTGCATTTAGGTATTTCAAAAGTAACGAGTGGAATCTAGATGACAATCTAGTAGCACGCTTAAATTAATGCCGACGGAGCACTAGGGCAAAAAGTTCGTCAGAGCAGTTGTCATGAAAATATTAGTAGAAAAAAAAGAGGAAGACACGCCAATTATTTATGGAAAAAATACGAAATATAACTTCCCCAACAAAAATAAATAAATAAATAAAGTAAAAAAAAAAATTGGTCACCTGTCTAGAGTCGGAAGAAACAGAGATAAAATCGTCAACAGCGGATATAAAGTAACAAAAAAGGAAAAATAAGAAAGAAGGCTAAAAGAGTGAGTATAAAGTGAAAAAAAAAAAAACGCAAAAAAAAGAGAAAAATGATCTCGGCACCCAGCACGTACGCACATCCGCACAGACGGGCGCACGCGAGCGAACGCACATCCGCAAAGACGGGCGCATGGCTGCACGACCATGGTCGCACGCACATGACTTAACAAGCATAACCACATGCGCACAAGTGCACACACGAACACAGAGAATACAGGAGAAAACTTACACCAATGTTAAATATGCATAAAAGAAAAAATATCAAAAATCATATAAGCACTAAATTGCGGATAACCTCTGAAGAGTGAACGGACGGTAATATATATATATGGGGCACCTCGACGTGGTGTAATGGTTAGAAAGCTTGTCTTGCTAGATTAATTACGACTGAGTAGTGAGTTCGATCCTCACTAGGTACCCCATACTTTCAGCCTTGTGCCACATTTAAGCCGGTCTTAGAAAATCACTATATATATAGTTAGATAGATAGATATGTATAGTTAGATAGATGTGCATGATCATACAATCGTACAAATAATCAGAAACAGGCGCCGAATTTTCAGTCACGATTAAATCCGTTATTAATTTGAAACACGTCTTGAGGCATGAGGAATATAAGGAGTTTTGTGCTCACTAAGACAATGAAATCTTTCCACCACCTTTTCAGTCTTGAACCAGCCACGCATTTAATATCTCCTTCGACTTCAGCTTCCCCGCCACCTGGTCCATTCATTGCTTTACACGGAAAAGGAACCAATCAGATTATTCAGGATACAGAGAATGGCGCCAGTATAATGGGAAAGGAAACACATGTTACCATTTACAGATGACAGTTTGTATAGCTAGCAGATCTCCCTCGATCCTCATTGGATCTTGTTAAGGATTGAAATCTCCTACTCACTCTTTCTCTTCGTCTCTCTGACTTTCTTTCTCTCGTTCTCTTTCATTCTCTCTCTGACTGTATCTGTTAATCTCTTTATCTCTCTATAAGTCATCACTTTCTATCTCTCACTCTCTGTTTTTCTCTCTTCTCCTCCTCTCCCTATGTAAATTTACACAACACACACACACACACATATATATATATATATATATCTATATAGATAGATAGATATAGATATAGATAGATGAAACTGTTTTATCTATCGTTACATACTCTCTCACTTTTTCTCTCTCATTCTCGCTCTCTTTCTGACTGTATCTGATTATCTGATTATCTCTGTTCATAGCTTTCTCTCTCTCCCTCTCTCTCTCTATATATATATATATATATATATATATATATATATATATATATATATATACACGAACAATCATATATAAATGAAAATATTCTATCTATTTGCGTCTATTCATTACTTTCTATTTATCTCAGTCTATTCATAACTTCTATCTATCTATCTATCTATCTATCTATCTATCTATCTATCTATCTATCTATCTATCTATCTCAACCTTTCCATACTCGCTCACTTTCTGTCTCTCTCCCTTTCATTATCTCTCTCTAACTGTATTTGCTTATCACATTATCTCTCTAAAAGCTTGTTCATTAATTTCTCTCTCCCTTTCTCTGTGTCTTTGTCTCTCTCTCTTCTCTCTCTCTCTCTCTCTCTATATATATATATATATATATATATATATATATTTACACAGACAATCATATATAAATGAAAATATTCTATCTATCTATCTATCTATCTATCTATCTATCTATCTATCTATCTATCTGCGAAAGTACTAGTATGTCGATGCACAACTTAGCTTTAAGGTGATCTCTTGCGATTGTCCGAGAGGGGGTGGGGGCTATCTATCTATCTATCTATCTATCTATCTATCTATCTATCTATCTATCTATCTATCATATTGACAAACCTACGGCCTCTCAATCAATTTGTTTTCCCATTATCCTCTTCATCCTGCAGTAAAGAGTGTAAAGTCGCGAAAAATGATTAATCGTATCTCTGACACATCTGAACATTAGAATGTTGAATATCAAATTATTATTTCTTTATTTTAACCTACGTAAGTTATTAGAGCCGAAACATCAGTAATCGAAATTTTTTTTCAAGTGAATTTTGCAGTAGCACTTTTTCGGAATACTATTTAACCCATAGCTGAAGAGAAGATAAATTTATACCTTTGCGATGGTGATTTTCGCGTAAGTGTATATAACGAACTCAACTGAAATTCGATCCCGGCTCTCCAATTTTCCATTCGTAGCCATTACACCAGCTGCACATCTACTGTTATTGAAAGAAATATTCTAATACTTTTTTTATGCATTAATCACAACCCCGGCTTCTCTTCTTCCGTTTTCATATCCGTGCTCACTTGCTTTTCTCAATGGCTGCCGGCGCCAAAAGTGACTCAAGGGAAATCTCCAAACGGACGCCATTCTCAAACTAAATCAACTCGATTTTATTTAATAAATTCCGAAATCGCATCTCCTCCCTGCCTGTGGTGTGATAGTTAGCAACGGTGGTTTAGCAACAGATTTAGTACGGATTGATGAGTTCTTTCCTCACGGGGAACTACAATCTTGTGACAAATTTAGTCTAAACTCATACAAATTCGGGTTCGTTACCAATTTCTTTTCGGTTGAACAGCAGAACACCTTCACGCCAGTGGCTGACGATTCATTTAAAACAAACTAGTGTATCCACGTGTGTACGTGTAAATTCGTTGTCATTCTGTTAAACAGTATGAGCATAGGTATCAACGATGAATGGTCTGCAGTCTGTTTCAGCTTGAGCGCAATCGTCACGCCATATTGTGAGTAGAATAGTAGCTCCACAATTTATATAACCCGGATATACCAAACATTAGTTCAATATAGCCGTTACAAAAATAAAATAAATGGTGTTCAATATCAGGGATAGAGCGCCTGTAAATATAAATTGAGACACTAAGCCCAACACAAAGTCTATTTATACTTGAGCATATGGCTTGAAAATTGTGTTCAAGTATGGAACAAACTGTTTCCGCTCTATGTTGACCTCAGTATCTCTCTCTCTCTCTCTCTCTCTCTCTCTCTCTCTCTCTCTTTCTCTCTTACTGTAATATATATATATAATATTTAAATGTAACATAATGTTTAAATGTAATATATATATATAAATGTTTAAATGTGTCAATGTCTGGACCTCCTCAAGTAATTTTAAGTATGAAAGAATAGAAATATTAAATTACATCTAACTCACTCATGTCTTCTCTCTACCCCCACCACCCTCACTTCCTCACTTCGTTAATTTACATATGCTTAATACGGCCCGTCAAAAATGTGTAAATTTCTTTTCATTTTTCGTTTCAACCTTTGGAAGTAAAGTCTGATGATCCGCAGTCCTTTAAAATGGCTGTGGTGAAATGATTTATTACATGGGAACTTAAAGTGAACTGTTTTTATTTAAATTATTTGCTCTGGATTTACATTGAGCTCTCTGGATTTTATCCTCCTTGGGTCTACCCATACGGATTACCTAGTTTTCCATAAACTAACTAACTAACTAACTAACTAACTAACTATATATATATATATATATATATATATATATATATATATATATATTAGAAGCGGTGGACCATATGTGACATTCAATATTGGAATCATGAATGGTGGAAAATGATCCAGCATATGAAAAATATAAAAAAATTATTTAACCAATATATATATATATATATATATATATATATATATATATATATATATATATATATATATATATATATATATGTGTGTGTGTGCGGATAAGAAAGACATAAACTAAACGGTACATGTTAGAATCAAACAGTAAAGATATATTATTTGGTTTGACGCCGAATCTAAGGAAAGGGTCTGCGTATCGGAACACTGTCGACTTGATCGATATCTCGAAGGTGTATTAAAGAACTAGACACGGTTGAAAGTTCCATTTTTCTTGTTGTTTATTATTATTCTGACCCTACCCCATAGATTAGATCTACTGAATCCTATTATATCTTGCAACGCAAGCAGACCGCCGGGCCGTCTTCACCTTGGATTTACTGTGCAATTACTTGCTTGATTTCAGTTGGATTGTGTATACCTCATGTGACGCCGTGGTCAGGGATCATCAATAATCAAAATGTTTGTTATCCAATAACAAGTTTTCTCCTTATACTAATTGGTACCTCGTCTAAACTATTCGCAATGGCATTATTAGTATGAGTGCTGGTAGAAAATGTTTGCCATGATCATCACCACGATCATCATCATTATTTATATGTTTATGAATATCTTCCTCATCTTAATATTGTGTAATCCGAGGCGTACTGGAATAGAGAATAAAGATTTGCAAAAGCTAAGTAAAGTATTAAGAAAAGGGAAAATTTCATTAGAAACAAAAGAAAGACTGGTGAATTAGTATGTAATATTAATGCTTCTATATGCTAGTGAATGTTAGACAATTTCCTCGTAGAGGAATAGGAGACTTGAGGCATTGGAGATACGGTTCTTTATTATTATCAGATAGAGTAAATCTGTAAAGGAAGAAAATGAATAAAAAGACAAGACGTAAAACTATTCTTAGCAAATGCATGTCGTCGTCTAAGCAAGTTTTCTCACGACAAACGTAAGGATTTATTTTGTTGTACGTGTTTATCGAGATTGTCATTGGTCTATCAAGGCTTTTAAATTTTAGAACGTTTATGAATATTCATCAGGGTCAGTTAAAACAAATGGAGGACTCAAAATGGCATAATTCAAAATCTGGTAAGATAAAAGTAAGCGAGTATTATTCAAGAATTGTTTTATCATAAATGAATCTTGTTTTAAATTGTGATCAGATTGCTATAATTTGGGATGGACATGTGTAAATGGTCAAAAACTGCAAAAGAATTAACCGTTATCTTTTGATTTTTTATTAACATTTTTGTGGTCGTGTATGTTGGCTTGGGTAAGTATATATATATATATATATATATATATATATATATATATATATATATATATATATAAAAGCAAGAATGACATACTTTTATCAAGGCTTTTATATTTTATCAAGGCAGTGATGGATTTAACTGTTATCTTTGATCTTTTAACATTTTGTGGTTGAGTATGTTATTTGGCATATATATATATATATATATATATATATATATATATATATATATACACACACATGTATATATATATATACTAAGAATATATATATATATATAGACTAAGAATATATATATATACACACATATATATGTGTGTGTGTGATAATATATATATATATATATACTAAGAATATATATATATATACTAAGAATATATATATATATATATAAGAATATATATATATATATATATATATATATATATATATATATATATATACTAAGAATTAATGATAACACTGCTTCATCTGAGAAAGTCATAGAAATTAAATATACTATATTAATTGATAATATAAGTTGTAAACAAGCAAATAAAGATAAAATAATGGAAAAAACTAGCCAAATAAGAGCGATAATTTTTCGTACAAGAAATTCGGACAATTTCGGACTATGACGTCTCTTGCCGCTACGAGGTGCAGGCAAGCGACAGAAATTCATATGAAAGAAATACGAGTGAAAATCAATAATGAATACAATGCTTTATGTATAAAATTTGAACAAATCATCATCTGTGTTCGATGGCGAAGAACAACTGAATGATCATCTACACCCACAGAAACATACAAATATTTTAAAAAAATGCTTCTTAAAAGATTCTACATCTTTGATTATAGAACAGAATAAAGCGACCTTATAACAGGTGACGCCAATGTGCATGACAGTCTAGACAATGTCCGTACAAAATTCTCGAGGTCTGTTCATTCATTTCCGAATACAGACGTGTGCATTGGAGCATAGAAATCTTATTCTTTAATTCAGTAGTCCTAAGCTGCGTAGTCTCTGAACAAAAAAATATTTTAAAGGAATAAAAAAACATCAAATCAACTACAACACAAAAATCGTTGTCTATGTTGTAAAGCAGATTTTAGAACTTAAATCGGTCCACATGGTCTAACATCAACCTTTCACTGGCAAAAGTGATTTTCAAAGGCTGGCAGAAGACAGGATGCATAACCCCAGGCTGATTACTTCTGTCACCTGAAGCACTTGAAATTGTTCGGTGGTGGTTCTTCTTCTTCTTCTTCTTCTTCTTCTTCTTTGTTTCGGCTTCCTTCAGGGCATTGGTCCCTTCATTGTTTTCCAAAATTTCCTGTCCATTGTAACTCTTAATAAATTTTGTCGATTTGATATTTCTCCTCAATCTCTATCCGCCATCTTTTTACTCAAATTCGTTAGGTAGGTTATTGTCATGCGTTGTACTTCTTCTGTCCATTTAGTCATCAATCTGACATGTGAGTATCACATTTTCCAAACCTTCTTTCCTCATTATGTGCCCTAGAAATTTCAACTGTCTCTTTTTGATGAATCGATTTTATGTATGATCCGGCATTAATTTTATAACTAAACACGTTATATTTAGTAGATGCATATATTTGAGTACACACACACACACACACACACACACACACACACACACACACATATATATATATATATATATATATATAAACTTTTAAGATTTGTATATCATAGCTTGATGGGTTGATCAACAATACTCATATTTTACTGCACGGTATGATGATAATGATGATGATGATGATGTACTAAATAAAAGGAGTGTTTGTTGGAGATATCGATAGCTAGTTCACCATAATCGGTAGGCTTTTTTTCCACACGGCCAATTTCCCAAAAATAAATAAATATAAATATTCTTCTAATTGATAATTGCGTAAAGATATCTAAATATGAGCCTGCAAAGAATTAAACTTGAGACCATTAAGAAAATTAAAAAAAAATGGCAGCTTGTCGACGATATGATGACGTTGAAATTTATTTTCTCAAAAGTTTTCAACACTATGTTAAACTTTGTCTGGGAGACGATGAAATGGAGCCGTGAATAAATTAATCGTAATTTGCCTAACCCCCAAAACTGATTGACGCTTACGTCGTAACTATAAAAAAAAAACACACAATGTTTTTTTCTCGTGGTATACAATTTATGATCAGAATCCAAGTGTCTGGTGCTGACATAATTGTTGTCATTATAAACGTTGGCATGCCATTGCCCTATAAGCAGTTTCAGCTTCTTATACAGACTCTCAATTATGATCGTTGCTATAATTATACCTTTAACCAATCGGTCGTTACGCTTAGCTATTCCTAAACAAAAATTCTACATGATGCAATTATATTGCGACAAAAAACACAAGGTGATAAATAAAATAGAACTAATAATCTATCTATCTATCTATCTATCTATCTATCTATCTATCTATCTATCTATCTATCTATCTCAGCCTGAGCATTATCTATCTATCTATCTATCTATCTATCTATTATCTATCTATCATCTATCTATCTATCTATCTCAGCCTGAGCATTATCTATCTATCTATCTATCTATCTATCATCTATCTATCTTCTATCTATCTATCTATCTATCTATCTCAGGCTGATCATTATCTATCTATCTATCTATCTATCTATCTATCTATCTATCTATCTATCTACTTAAAATGAGATAGATGAACAAATTTCTATGTTCACTTCATTCTTTCTTTCTTTCAGTCATTCATTCATTTCCTCATTGAAACCAAGTAGCATATTTGATAGGTTTTGTTTTCCCACGTAGTCAAAACGGAATAGTCCATTAATTATGAGATATGGTAATGAGACGTTAAACTCGTCTTTCTTTCTTTCTTTCTTTCTTTCTTTATTTATTTCTTTCTTTCTTTCTTTCTTTCTTTTTCTCACTGAACCCAAGTAGTGTCTTTTTCCCTCTTTCCACTTGATGAAAACGGAATAGTCCATCATTAACGAGGGATGGGTAGGGCGTAACGGTGCTGCCATCTAACGCAGGGGCAAGAACAATTATAATAGTATATGAATAATGAATGAAAGCAGAAAATTTCTACTGCTGCCAGGTATTTACCTGTGCTTGAATAACTACCGTTAATGTTGGTTGAAAAAAAAAATACAAATCTATCATTAATCAAAGAAGGTCGGATCTGTCTTTCCAACTATCAATCGGGTTGAAAGAGAAAATGTTTTAGGAATTTCTGTCCGTTTTATAAATCGAAAACGTCATTAATAAACAGGATAAAAACGCTTGGTGGGAGATGACAGAAAGTATTTTGAAAAAACACGTTAGATTACCACCCGGCGGAAAATCCCAACGTGAGGACAGTTCAATGCTGTCAATGCTGGTGAAAGAAAAGTAGTAGAATTTTAGGCCAAGCATTCCATTTTGCGGAGCATACTAGCAGAAAACAGATTGCATAGCGGTCTTTGTGACTTCTGACAAATTCGTTCATTGTTATCCTTAGTACTGTCACTTTTTAAAGTTTCCGCCATTATTAACATTTTTATTCTTATAATAAATATTATTATTATTATTATTGTTGATGTTGATAAGATGATGTAGGAATTGTCAAATGTCCTTGAAATATTGTTCCAGATTTATTAATATTACTTTCACTTTCACTTTCATTTTTCAATTTTGTATTACATTTTTATTGTCTATTGAGATTTAAATCTTTATATTGCACAAAAACTACCATTGGCATTTCAATTTCACCGATAGTTACAAACACACACAACCCAACGTAGATATACTGTTAAATAGATAACTATGAACTGGTCGAGATAGATAGATAGATAGATAGATAGATAGATAGATAGATAAAAAACAGGTTGAAATAGGCAGATATATAGATAGCGATTTCTATCTATCTATCTATCTATCTATCTATCTATCTGGGAATATCAGGAGCTATAATCTTAGATGAGCTGATAGTGTAATGGATAATGGTTTGGTATAGGAAGTTCGTTATATTCACTTACACGCAAATACCGTTGGCAAAGGTATGAAGCTATCTATTTTCCCCAGCTATGGGTTAATTAGTAGGACTTGCATCAATAAAATCATTATTGATAAATCGCAGAAAGAAAGTCAGTGAAACAAAAAAAATCATATCCATCTATTTATCTATCTTCGTCAGTTTCTCTTTCTTTCTTTCTTTCTTTCTATCTATCTATCTATCTATCTATCTATCTATCTATCTATCTGTCTATCTATCTTTGTAGGTAGTTATAAGCCGTTTCTTTTTTAATTTATTACCTATATGTCACCTTCTCTTCCCAGCGTGCGACTCGAAGTCCTCTTTAATTTATTACTTAAAACTGCCAACAGAGTAAGCCACCGACTTCGGTTAAAAAGCTAATGGAAACGATAACACGCGAGTTCGAATTAACTTAAAGTTAAAAAAGGGAAAGAAAAAAATATACTAATCGAGTGTTAAGCCAAAGAGTAATAAGACGTATCAATCCGTTTTTAGAGATACCGTAGAGATCTACAGTTCAGATCTCGCAATCGTTATTTCCATTTGCCTTCATGTCTCTTCAATTACAGATTTAGATTTTTGCTTCTCCCCGTCTTCCTCCTTTGTGTACACTTCTTTCCTCCCTCTCGAATTAGATTAGTCTGTATGGAAATCTGTCAGGTAGAACCAATAAGAGTCTTCGCTTTTGGCTTCATCTGTCGTTACGTTTGTTGCTCGTGCTATTTGCACACATTTCTTGCCACCTCCACACTTGACGACTCATTATAGAAAGCCGCTCCAAGAACATTGGCAAAATCGTCACATTCGCCCGACATTTGCTTGTCGTAGTGATATGATAATGGCGTTAAAAATAAACCTGGCTGCTATTAAAATATCAGATTTTTTCGTTGCAAGTCACTACTCCTTATTGAATTTCGTTAAAACAAGGTCGTTTTAAAATATTATTAAAATGAAGACTGTGTAGCAACAATGAGTTCCAGAAATGTGTTAGCGTTAGGTTTTATTTAAACACAAGCGCTTGGTTTCATTTTGATAGATAGAGGAATGTTGCTACCGATGTTCTTCTAGAAGTATTAAGCTATATGGTTATGATATAGGGCCATGTGATACAAAGGTCTAGATTTTAATGTTTTGCGTCATTAGAATTCTAGGTTCCATCTGTGGAATAGAAAAATTGGCTGGAGTTAATGAGTGAAAGTACATAATTTAGTGGAATAGTTTAAAAGATATAAATTTTGAACATCTATCTATCTATCTATCTATCTATCTATCTATCTATCTATCTATCTATCTATCTATCTATCTGGCTAGCTATCCATCTCAGAATACTATCTACCTCTCTATCTCACACACACATACACGCTCCCTCTCTCTCTCTCTCTCTCTATATATATATATATATATATATATATATATATATATATATAATACAAAATACAATCCTCCTGTCTCTCCTTTGTCCCTGTCTGTCTGTATGTATGTCTCTCTGTCTCTGTCTCTGTCTCTCTCTCTCTCTCTCTCTCTCTATATATATATATATATATATATATATATATATATATATGAAGAAAAATATACTGAAAAAACAAACAAAATCCTGCTGTTTTAATGTTTAATGTCAACGTCGGACATTTCGGTCTAATAGACCATCTTCAGGACATATTCATAAAACATAATTAAAGACCATATATAATTTCAACATGAAAAAGACGATGGACATAAAAGCAATACCAATCCAAACAGATAACTGAAATCTTTTATAAGATCAGCGTTCCTTTAAATATGATCACGTCGTCGTCACGTGGGCGATGTTGTGAAAACGTATTCTAAAATTTGAGTATTTTGAATGAAAACGAAAAGAATTTTATTTTGATCTAAAACTTATATGTACGTTTTCTTCATACTGTCGGATCTATATCCATATATTTGCTTACATATATATATATATATATATATATATATATATATATGAATAAAAGAAAAGAGGAAAAAAGGAACACAGTTGCTGTTTATTTTTAAAATAAATGAACGTTAAAAATTAACAAAAAGAACCAAGAACATTAACAAATGCATAGTAACTATACGATAGAAAAATCTTCACTAAGAAACATCATAAAGAAATACATAATTCCAGTCGAGAAAAACAATAAGATTAAATTAATTATTTATTAGAAAAGATTTAAAACCGCTAACCCGTCAAAAATAATAATTCACCTGCAAGATCTACATTACCTAGAACCAATATTATTTACAAATTTACATGTCGTTGATAATACTATCTATGTATCTGTCTATCTAAAGAAGAATAGCATTTATTCACATGTACAAAAAGGGTAAAAATAATTGAAGCATTATTAATAATAAGAAAAATCTAACACTCAATAATATCAACTATGAACACGGTCGCATTGTGCTGAGCGTGTTTGGAAAATAAAACATTCCTATGACTCTAGATACATGAATAAAACAATCCACGTTTTCAGTTAAAAATAAAATAAAATTTATCCTTGGAAAGGGCTTGGGAAATATTCGGGTAATATTTCTATAATTTATGCTCTGAAAAGAAAAAAAAATGGACGAACACATGAGAAAAAATATATAAACATCAACAGCAGCACTTTGTCAGTCGTTTTCAACGAAACTTGCATGAAAGAGGGATTTCTGCCCAAATACACTATATATATATATATATATATATATATATATATATATATATATATATATATATATATATATATATATATATATGCCTATGTACTAAAAAACGATATATATATATATATGAGAGAACTTTCTTCCAAAGAACGACATTTCATCATATCAAACATGACTTTATAATTATAGACTTTTGGAATGTCACGTCAATTTCACGATCAGGTTTTTCTTTGACTTGCTCCGTATACCGTTACTTTTCATGTTCAAAACAAAAATTTTATTAAACTCGCTAAAGCAATGTTCGATCTGGTTTCAAAATCATTTGAAATCAACCAGCTCAAAAAAGATATTTTTATTAGATAAGATATTATTTCAGCTATGTTGAAATAAATTTATGATATTATATTAAGACTGAATTCACTTCCTTAGGATTTGAGAGATGATCGGACTAACGATCACATTAGAGGAAAGTGCATAATACTCTTATGTACTAATGTTAGATTTGCTAATTTCGGGCCTTATCTAGGGGTTGGGTTGCTGTCGTAGTTTGATGACGGCAAACCTAGTGGGTAAATAACACAATGAATTTTTCTGTATTGAGAAAAAATTGTGACCAAGTTAAGAAAATGGCATCCGAAGAATTTATGCAAGCATCAAGTCTAACCAAACACACAAACGAGAAGAAGAAGAAGAAGAAGAAGAAGAAGAAGAAGAAGAAAACGACGATAAGAAGAAGAAAAAAAAAGACGATATGAAGAAGAAGAAAAAGACGATAAGAAGAAGAAGAAAAAGACGATATGAAGAAGATGAAGAAAAAACGATATGAAGAAGAAGAAGAAGAAGAAGAAGAAGAAGAAGAAAAAACGATAAGAAGAAGAAAAAGAAGAAGAAGGGTGCAGAAAAATGAAAGAGAAAAATAGAAAAATCATTTGAAGAAGGAATGGTGAAAAATATAGAGA